GTCTGGAGTTGTGGGGGCTTTTAATTTTGAAGGGCCTTTGAAACATGCTTTTAAATACTTTGTGGACTACAGTGCGGACTGTGGGGAATGGGCTGATCTGTTGAGGGGAGATGGAGATATTCTTGGGTTGGAGTCCCCCCGAGACCTATTCCCCAATGAGAAAGGAAAGAAATTAAGGAATAGATCAACAGAAGACAAGGTAAAGTGTAGGTATAAACAAGAAGAAGATCTGCAGAAGGGACATGGAAGAGACTTAAGAGCCTCGGACATAAGATTACCAGGTTGATGGACTAGATGGAATGGACAGTAAGGACTGACATAACCCGAGACCAGGAAGAAGAGACGTTGGATGAAGATTGGAAGAAAGCTTTTAAAAAAATTTATTTTGAGAATTAGTGTAAAATTAATGAGTATTAGGAAAAATTGTTGGAATGAAACTATTTGGCTTTAGTAGAAATGATATAAGGAGTTATGTATAAATAAGTATTAAGTTTTAAGCTTTAAGGTATTTTATGGTAATATAAGGTTAAAATAAATTAAGGTAAATTGAATGACAGAACATAGTGAAAGATAGCAAGGATTTGTTGAGTGAATTAATATGTTAGATCGTTAAGATAAATTACTTAACAAAAATTGAGAAAGATGGAAAGGATTTGCTGAAACAATTAACTAAACTAGAATACAAAAAGGGAGGTGTGAGGAGGTCGATGAAACAAGCAAATGAAAGATAAAGAAATGGAATATTGGATGTGTGTTTTTTATTGTTGTATTGTTGTATTGGTTTTTATGTTTTTTATATTCTTTTTTTGTAATGTATGTCTTGTTGAATTTTTTGTTGTTTTCTTTTCTCTTTTTTCTGTAATCTTTAAACTTCTAATAAATATCATTTTAAAAAAAGAAAAAAAGAAAAGCAATGACAAACCTAGACAGCATCTTAAAAAGTAGAGACATCACCTTGCCAGCAAAGGTCTGTATAGTAAAAGCTATGGTTTTCCAAGTAGCAATGTATGGAAGTGAGAGCTGAACCATAAAGAAGGCTGATTGCCAAAGAATGGATGCTTTTGAATTATGGTGCTGGATGAGAGTGTTGAGAGTCCCATGGACTGCAAGAAGATCACACCTATCCATTCTGAAGGAAATCAGCCCTGAGTGCTCACGGGAAGGACAGATGCTGAAGCTGAGGCTCCAAGACTTTGGCCACCTCATAAGAATAGAAGACTCCCTGGAAAGCCTCTGATGTTGGGAAAGAAGGAGCGCACAAGGAGAAGAGGATGACAGAGGACGAGATGGTTGGATAGTGTTCTCGAAGCTACCAGCATGAGTTGGACCAAACTGCGGGAGGCAGTGGAGGACAGAGGTGCCTGGCGTGCTCTGGTCCAGGGGGTCACGAAGAGTCGGACACAACTAAACAACAACAACAACAACACCTCCTCTCAGTCTGGCGCTTAACACTTCTGATGGGAATACATTTAATCTGGCTTTGGTGAAAAGACGCCGGTATGTTGGTACAGACAAATTTCTAAGACATGCAGGTGTCTGAAACTTGAACCCATAGTGAATTCCTACTTCTAATGCGCCACAGATAACATGAGATTGAGATTGGAGATCACTATGTGATATGTCCCAGAGGCTTTGCCTCAGAGATTCAAAGGCAGTATCATAGCCCAGATGGTACAGGAGAGAAGGTGGCATACCAAGCCAAGTGGCTTTTCTAACCATCATTTTCATCTATGAGCTGGCAAACTCCTCGTTGTTTAGGTATGGAAGGTATGGGAGCCCTTCCCTAGGCCAAAGACACAGATCTTGAGCTAGTATCTCAGGCCAGCCCACCATGCTTTAGTTGATAGAGGACATTCACCTGCTTTGAAAAATAGTATTGCATTTGGAACACAATTTGGACCGGAGAAACTTTACCTGGAAGCCATTGAACGAGGAGAATGAGCCATTGAACCAGGCGTTTGAGGCGTAGAGGAGTTGAGAGACAGATTTTGCATTAAATACCTTAATGGCTGATGGAACATAATGGCCTCCCCTTGTATAAAAGAATTGAAGTATAGCCAGTTTGCTTACCTCTGCCTTTTGATAGGCGGTCTGCCAATGATGTTTCAAGGACTTGGAATAATGGAACAGAAGCCCTAGGTACCGGAAGAATTTGGTCTGCTCTAGTTTGTGACCGTCCAGTACCCATTTACTTAGGGAGAATCTCTTCTCAAACACCAGGACTTTAGATTTTTCATAACTGATGGATAACCCATTACCAGAGCAGTAGTCTCAGAATTTCCTTAGTTGATAGTTCAGGCCAGGTCTGGTTCGGGAGAGGATGGCCGCATCATCCGCATACAACAAGAGAGGGGTCTTTCTCGTCCCTATTTTTGGAACATGGCCATCAGGGTCCATTAAGCTTGCCTCTAAGTCATTCAGAAACGAACTGAACAAAGTAGGGGCCAAAATGCATCCCTGTCTCACTCCCCTGGCCATCTCAATACAGTCTGAGAGCTGGCCCTGCAACCCACACCTAACCTGCAAATTGCTTCCACAGTGCAGGGCTTTAGTAAGATATAGGAGACGTTTATCCTTCAGTGCTAGATGCAACTTGGCCCATAGTTGGAATCTGGGGATGGAGTCAAAAGGCAGATTTCAGGTCCATAAAGGCCACAAAGTGTTTTCCCTGTCGAGGTCTCGTGTACTTCTCGGCTAGGAGGGACAGCATTAGACAGTGGTCTGATGTTGAGTGGTTCTTGCAGAAGGCTGCCTGAGCTTCAGATAGTATGTTATAGTCATTTAGGAAAGTCAGTTTATTACAGAGAAAGCAGCTGTCTTACTGCAAAAGAATTTCAGAAAGAGACTTAAAAGAGAAGTGGCTGAATTACAACTTATTACTAAACTGAAAACTATGGAGAGACCTCATCTGAATAGAGATATTGGATTCCTGTCTCATTGCATATGCTAAAGCTATTTTTGATCATCTGAATACCATCCCTTGCTTTTTCCTGCAGGACTAATTGCAGTCATTCACAGTCGCCAACAGGTTGACCATACTCATACTACTACCCTTCGGAGAAAAACCTCGCCCCACCCTCCCTCTATATATAAGGGTCTGGGGGCTCCCCTCCCGCTATATATAAGGGCCTGGGGACTTCCGCTTCAATATATCTGAAGAAGTCATCCCCTCAATATGGACAAGCAGAAGAAGGTTTCCTTGTTGAAATAATAAAATCCTTTATTTACAGAAAGGTTCGACCTTGCTGGCATCCTCTCAATGTGGACAAGCAGAGAAAGGTTTCCATTTTGGGAACCGTAAAATCACCCATCTCCTACTACCCTTCGGAGAAATACCCCACCCATCCCTCTATATATAAGTGTCAGGGACTTCTGTTTCCGTGTATCAGAAGAAGGGGGCCTACCCACGAAAGCTTTGACCCAGAACAAACTGAGTTGGTCTCTTAAGGCGCTGCTGAACCATTTTTTTTTATTTTGACTGCGTCCCACCAATGCAGCTACCCACCTGAATCTAGATGTATGCTGGTGGACAGTGTCTGGTGTCGTGTTTGTTATTATTATTTATTATTTCTTGTATTTCTACACCGTCCCATATCTCTCGGGGCGCTTCACATTAAAAACCACTTGCATAAAACCAACACGAAAACCAGATTATCAGTTGTACAATTTAAACATGTTGTGTGTTGCCTTACTTGTCTACTCAAATTCAGCCGCAGCACATGGCTAATTATTGTTAATAGTAGAATGTCACCCGAAATTTACAATTTCCAAATAATGTACTGTACCTTTCAATTTTCTTACACTGTTCTTGAGGTTATTGACAGGTGTGTCAAATAAATAATTATCAGTTCTATACATCAGTTTTATCAGCATCAGCTAGCTACACTGGTTAGTGAGCTCTGATCTACAAGTATTATATTTACATGTATGGATATCCTTAAAAAATTACTTGGTACGTATTCCTTATTTATTGTTTATTTGTTATTTAATATGCAGGGGACGCGGGTGGCGCTGTGGGTAAAAGCCTCAGCGCCTAGGGCTTGCCGATCGTCAGGTCGGCGGTTCGCATCCCCGCGGTGGGGTGCGCTCCCGTCGCTCGGTCCCAGTGCCTGCCCACCTAGCAGTTCGAAAGCACCCCCGGGTGCAAGTAGATAAATAGGGACCACTTACCAGCGGGAAGGTAAACGGCGTTTCCGTGTGCGGCTCTGGCTCGCCAGATGCAGCTTGTCACGCTGGCCACGTGACCTAGAAGTGTCTGCGGACAGCGCTGGCCCCCGGCCTCTTAAGTGAGATGGGCACACAACCCTAGAGTCGGACACGACTGGCCCGTATGGGCAGGGGTACCTTTACCTTTTATGCAGGTTGCTTCAGCACTGTTTAAAATGTCAACTCATTACGTTGGTGATGGACCAATATATCTATATATCAAATCTGGCAGCACAACGCAATTTGAAACTATAAAGTCACAGGCTGGTTACTTAAAGCCTATTTTTTAAATAAATTTCTTTCTTGTGGAAATTTCTCAGTTATCATTTAAAGACGTGTGTTGCATTCCTCATCTATGCAGATATAAATTGGCATTTCGGATGTTACATAACTTGTCATTATTTGTGTTTTATTTTCTGCAGATGATAGCATTTATTTTCAACTTTATATTGATGTTATTAGTGTTGCCCAGAAAATACTGCACCATGTAGATTTGCTTATTAAAGAGCAGACTCATTTAACAGAGGTTCATTTGATAACCCGCTTGGGCACAGAGTCCATCTTCAGTGAAATTCCTCTGGCGGTTAAAAATATTATGGTGTTTTCTTTTCGGGATGAAATCTTGTGAAAGGCTACTCTTTGTAAGGATTGGGGGGAGGGTTTCCTATACAGCATTATAATCAGGGTGGATTTGATTTAAATCAAACCGATTTAACTCACGATTTAAATTCCTTGATTTGAATCACTAGTCAGGAAGGCTTGATTTAAAACTTTTTTTCTTTCTTTTTTTACAGAAAGGTTCAACCTTGCAGGCAACCTCTAAATATGGACAAGCAGAGGAAGGTTTCCTTTTGGGAATAATAAAATCCCTTTTTTTACAGAAAGGGTTAACCTTGCTGGCATCCTCTTCATATTGACAAACAGAGGAAGGTTTCCTTTTTGGAATCATAAATCTTCAGAGGAGTTTTTACAGTTATATAAAAAATGACTGATTTAGTTACACCATTAGAAACAATTATGAAATTACGGTGAGGTTTAATAAGTTAACTATTTCTATTTGGACAACTTTTCTGCAGTACTTTATTGGAAGGAGAAAAATAATCATTTCCTTCATAACAATTTAAACCATTTATTTCACTAAAGGAATAACATTATAGCACATGTATCCATGTTTGTTAACTGATGTGGTTAATTAAATTTTTTTAAACACACCTTAGACCAGCGAGGGCAAAGTTGGGCCATGCCTGATCTAGAACAGTGGTGGCTCCACTTGGCCCTCCAGCTGCCGTGGGACTACAACTCCCATCATCCCTGACCACTGGTCCTGTGAGCTAGGGATGATGGGAGTTGTAGTTCCCAAAGAGCTGGAGGGCCAAATTTGGCCATGCCTGCCTTAGACTGAATTTTAGCACTTAAAAAAAAATCCTTGTTTCCTTGATGAATAGCCTTTGAGCTATAATGTAACCGAAATAGAAAACTATCTTTAGAAAGATTTTTCCTTCAAAAGCATTTTATTTTTAAAATCCGATTTAAATAATTAAAAATCATTGATTTTTATCCACCCTGATTATAATCTTGAAAACACAATATAGTAGCTTTAAAGTCATTCACCTTGTCACCTCGGAAGTTTCCCCGTTCCTGGAAAGACCATAATCCGGCTTTGATTTTAGCAGGAGGAGCCAGAGTCCAATCAACTGCATCCGTCCCAGCGCTCTTGGTCCCATCAAAAGGAAAGGTAAGTGCAGAGGTGGAGGAAGGGGGGGCAGTGGAGGCGGGGCGCCCCGGGTGTCACCACTGACGGTGTGGTGACAAATTGCCGGGCGGCCCTTGTGGGGCCTGCAGCCCGCCCGAGCCGCACATCTCTCCTGCTCTAGATCAGGCATGGCCCAACTTGGCCCTCCAGCTGTTTTGGGACTGCATCCCTAGCTCACAGGACCAGTGGTCAGTCCCAAGACAGCTGGAGGGCCAAGTTGGCCTAGGCCTGCTCTTTTCTCTGCCAAGCTTGTGACTTCCCTCCATCCTTTCAACTGGTTTTTTTCTTTTCAGATCTTTATGTCGCCCTTTAAATTAGCATTTTCTGACCTTAATATCCTTGTAGCCAACTCTTATCTCTTTGGCCAGATTTTTTGCAGTACATTTTTAGAATAATTGTTCATATACCAAATAAATTTACTCCAGTCTCTTCGAAATTTTTTGTTGTCTTGGTTCCGGATTCTACCAGTCAGCTTGGCCAATTCTGCATAGTCCAGGCATGGCCAAACTCAGCCCTCCAGATGTTTTTGGCCTACAACTCCCATTGTCCCTAGCTAACAGGCCCAGTGGTCAGGGATTATGGGAATTGTAGTCCCAAAACATCTGGAGGGCAGTTTGCCTATGCCTGGACTACAACTCCCATCATCCCTAGCTCTCAGGACTTGTGGTCAGGGATGATGGGAGTTGCAGTCCCCAAGCAGCTGGAGGGTTGAGTTTGGCCCCCTCTGGCTTAGTCCGCCATCTTCATTCTGCCACTCCTCAATCGTTGGTAACTCTGGCAGTTTCCACCTCTTGGCTAATAAACCATCTGAAACAAATCTGCTTAATTTCAATAGGTGAAATGGAAACCGAAAGCCAGCCCAAGAGACTTTTCCAAGGAACCACCAACATGCTTTCTCCTGACGCGACACACCTTTCTGACCTCAGCTCATGGTAAAATTAATCTTAATAATACATATACTACTCATCAATGCCCAGAAATGGTTCGCTGTATCTTTTGATGCTCTAGCATTCCAAAATAGTTCCTACCCAGGGTGGATAAAAACCAATGATTTTTTTATTTAAAAGTTTTTTGTTTTAATTTGATTTTTAAAAAATTTAAATCAGATTTTAAAATTTAATTTGGAATTTTAAAATAAAATGCTTTGGGGGGCGGGAATCTTTCTAAAGATAGTTTTCTGTTGAAGTGACATATGTCCATGGATCAGGGTGGCTAAAAATCAAGGATTTTTTTAAAAAATAAAAAAATCGTATTCTTGAAAAAATTTAATCAGATTTTTTTTCTTCAATTAGATTTTTTTGATTTAAATCAGATTTTTAAAACAAAATGCTTTTGAAGGAAAAATCTTTCTAAAGATTTTTTTATTTAAGTGGCTTTCTAGTCCACGCATAGGCAAATTCTGGCCTTTGACCACTAGTCCTGTTAGCTAGGGATGATGGGAGTTGTAGTCCCAAAACAACTGGAGGGCCGAGTTTGCCTATGCCTGTTCTAGTCCAAAGGCTATTCATCAGGAAATAAGGATGTGGTTAAAGTTTTTCATGTGTGCTAAAAAATCACTCATTTTTTATATAACTGTAAAAACTATTCTGAAAATTTATGATTTCAGAAAGGAAACCTTCCTCTGGTTGTCAGTATTAAGAGGATGGCAGCAAGGTTGAACCTTTCTATTTAAAAAAATGACTTAAATCAAGCCTTACTGATGAGTGATTGAAATAAAGTCTGACTGATGAGGGATTTATATCTATTTGATTTGTATCAAATCCACCCTGCCACAAACACTCCCCCAGCCCGTAAACTGTAAAAGCTTCTCTGTAAATTGATGATTCCAAAAAGGAAACCTTCCTCCAATGGTCCATATTAAGAGAATGCCAGCATGACTGAACCTTTCTGTAAATAAAAAGGATTTTAAATCAAGCCTTACTGACAAGTGATTTGAATTGTGATTTCAACCGACTTGATAGCAATAAATGATAGTACCCAATCCACCCGGGTGGGTACTGACCTGAAGAAGTGTGCAGATACATACCGTATTTTTTGCTCCATAAGACACTTTTTTCCTCCTAAAAAGTAAGGGGAAATGTCTGTGCGCCTTATGGAGCGAATACGTGGTCCCTGGAGCTGAATTGCCCAGGGTCAAAAAGCAGATCTTTTTTTGAAAGAGGGAAGGGGGTGTTGAAAGGAAGCAGCTGATTGGTAAGCGATCGGGGAAAGAGATAAGGGACACGATAAAGGAGGCTGCCTGGGAGGGGGGATCCTCAGGATTTTTGTATTGGGCCACCCCAAATTCACCGTCAGATCACCTAACATGTCCATGGCTACAGCCTGCACCAAAAAAATCACGCACCCACTGTTTTGTGGGGCCGCAATGGTGCAAAAACGTGGTTACAAAGCACAGATCCACATGGATTCTCAGGATTTTTGCAATGGGCTACCCCAAACTCACCGTCAAATCACATGTCTGTGGCCATTGCATGGACCACAAAACTCATACATCCACTGTTTCGTTCAGAATTTTTTTTTCTTGTTTTCCTCCTCTAAAAACTAGGTGTGTCTTATGGTCTGGTGTGTCTTATGGAGCGAAAAATACGGCAACTTGGCCCTCCAGCTGTTTTGGGACTACAACACCCATAATCCCCAGCTCACAGGACCAGTGGTCAGGGATGATGGGAATTGTCCCAAACCAGCTGGAGGGCCAGTTTGGTCACCGCTGCATGGTCCAACTTGGCCCTCCAGCTGTTTTGGGACTACAACCCACATCATCCCCACTTCACAGCACTGGTGAGGGATGATGGGAATTGTAGTCCCAAACATAGGAGTTTGCCTATGCCTGCTCTAAGATGCTACTGGACCATTTTTTATTTTATGTGCCCTGACCGAAGCTTGCGGTTTCCCCTCGTTTCCACAGCCTGCCCTCAGATGCCCTCGACGGTTGCTCCAGCGGCGCCAGCCCCTCCATTGACTCACTGGCCAAAGGCGCCGCCTCTGGCGCCGCAGCAGAATCGCCTGCTGCGCGATCCGAACCTGCTTCCCCATTCATCTTGATGGAAGACCTTTCCCCCAAGTGACTCGCCCTGCCGCCTGCCTGGATGTCCGCCTGTGCCATCCTTTTGCTATACCCGCCTATGGAGAAACCGGCGGCATAAAATCCCCAAGGGCATCCAGATTAGGAGTGCCGAGTGTGAAACACCCACGTCAACCCTCCTCAGTAACGTCTCCAGGCGATTTTAATCCTCCTTTTAATGGACGTGTCAGGCCCTGGCGCTGCCTGGCTTGCCGGTTTCCCTTTTAATTCTTTTGCTAACGTCTGCTCGGTTTTCCTTTTAACTACAAATTATTTTGCGAACATATGCTTGGATCGGGACTTTCCTTTCAAAGAAATGACACCCACATTTCCTGGAATTCCCGGAAAAGCATCCAATTTATATTCGCATTAAAAATGTCGGTGGGAAACCGGTCACCGTCGCAATCCCTTGTTCCAAAGGTAAGAATGGAGCTGAAATAAATGAGTTTATTCTAGGTCAGGCCTAGTCAAACTCGGCCTTCCAGCTGTTTGGGGACTACAATTCCCATCATCGCTGACCACTGGTCCTGTTACCTAGGGAGGATGGGTATTGTATTCCCCAAACAGCTGGAGGGCCAAGTTGGGCCACGCCTGATCTAGAGCAGTGGTGGCCCAACTTTGCCCCATCCACTATTTTGGGACCACAATTCCCATCACCCTGACCACTGGTCCCGTTAGCTAGGGAGGATGGGTGTTGTAGGCCAAAACATCTGGAGGGCCAGAGTTTGCCTGTTTCTTGAGATTAATGCTGGTGGAAACTGAGAATCATAGAATCATAGAGTTGGAAGAGACCACAAGGGCCATCGAGTCCAACCCCCTGCCAAGCAGGAAACACCATCAGCACTCCTGACATATGGTTGTCAAGCCTCTGCTTAAAGACCTCCAAAGAAGGAGACAGTAAGTGAGAAGTACACTTAAGTATGGGAAATGTCATTCGGTTTGGGGTGCAAGAAATGATCTATTCCAGGCTTCCTCAACCTCAGCCCTCTAGATGTTTTGAGACTACAAATCCCATCTTCCCTGACCACTGGTCCTGCTAGCTAGGGATCATGGGAGTTGTAGGCCAAAAACATCTGTAGGGCCGAGGTTGAGGAAGTCTGATTTATTCCTCACAAGATCCAATTGGGCTTAATTTCCAAAAAAGGGAAAAAAAGATGCAACCCATTTGTAATCTACTGTGTCACGCTATTTATTATTTATAATTCTGTAAAATAATAACAAAAGTCTGGTGATTTATTAGAGTATTTTTTTATGATTGAAGCCCTTTCCCCATGTCCTGCGAGCACTGGCTGGTCTGTATTGATAGGCAACTTTGTCCGCCGGATTTGTGCGATTCCGGTTCCAAATGTTTCTTGTCTTCCGGATTTGGAAAACTTTAATTTCCTTCCTTCCTTCCAAGAAATAGTGCGGAATTTGAAGCGTGATTGTGCTTGTCTGGCTCGAAAAAAGGGCGAAAAAAAGGACATTTGGCTTTCCCCTTCCTGGAATTTTCCTTTGGAAAGCGTTGGTTTGGAATCTGAGTTGGGCCTCTTGTTACCTGTATTCCGGTTTTTGCCTGGGAGAGAGAGTTTCCTCGCCTCCAATAAATGTGCATATTGTAAAATGTCACCCAGGGGTATCTTTATTTTTTTAAATGACTATTTTATCCACATGCACACAAAAACTTTGACCCAGAACAAACTTAGTTGGTCTTTAAGGGGCTACTGGACCGATTTTTTATATATATATTTCAATTTTATCCGCGTGCGAATTGTATTTGTGTAGATAAACTGTGCTGTTTTGGCTGGCCTCCCAGCTGCTGCTAAATAATAAAGAAATCTGATTTAAATCCAACAAATTCGATCTTTTATTATTATCATCATCATTATTTTTTAAAAATAATAATTTTATTTTATAATAATTATAATTATAAAATTAGTAATATATTATTAATTTAATATTAATGTTATTAATATAATTTATAATAATTTATTTTAGAATTATTAAGCTTTCCCTGACATCTCCAGGGGGAAAGACACACGTGAAGCCCATGAGAACAGCTGCCAGTCAGTGTTGACAACACCAAGCTAAACGAAGGGCTGACTCATATCAAGAGGGTTTCCTATAGTCCCAGCAATACAAGACCTATTACACAGGATGTTCTCTACAGCTTAGAAAATTTATATTTATTTTATTATTAATAATAATTTTAAAATACAAGTTGTCAATCCGTGCACTTACTGGCTGCTGTTTGACCTGGTACTGGAACTTCAGAACCGTAGCAGTGAAGTTTTCAAACCTCAATTCAGGAAAGGCTCGATACCTTTGGATAGATCAGGCATAGGCAAACTCCAGCCCTCCAGCTCTTTGGGAATTACAACTCCCATCATCCCTAGCTAACAGGACCAGTGGTCAGGGATGACGGGGAATTGTAGTCCCAAACATCTGGAGGGCTGGAGTTTGCCTATGCCTGGGATAGATCATTCTTGCTTAGCCTCGGTTCCTTGTTCTTCAAAATGGGAACACTTGAGACTTATGTGGGCAATCCCAGGTAAGCTCAGAGCATTTGAAAGCACTGCATGACCACATGACAGGGTGGATAAAAATCAGTGATTTTTAAAAAACAACAACCCCAAAATCAGATTTTTTTGGATTTAAATCAGATTTTTAAAATAAAATGCTTCTGGAGAGAAAATCTTTCTAAAGATGGTTTCCAATTTAAGTGTCATTCTAGTCTAAGGGCAGCTGTGTCCAGCACTGCCAAAGGCTTCACAATAATGTCCATGGATCAGAGTGGATAAAAATCAAATTTTTTTTAAAAAAAATTATTAATTTTTAGAGCTTCTTTTTACAATTTTACCCCAAAGTTGCTGAGCTTTTTTAAAGGATGTTTTTAGCGTGTTTCCCCACACTTTGTAACTCTCCCCACTGGCACCCACGCAGTAGTGATAGAATCAATGAATAGGTTTCCACTGGCAAACCCTCTTCTCAATTGGTAGACCAAGTTACAAGATGCAGTTGTCATGGGAAATGGAAGGAGCTATCCCCTACTACAGGCATGGCCCAACTTGGCCCTCCAGCTGTTACAGTTCTCATCAACCCTGATCACTGGTCCTGTTAACTAGGAATGATGGGCGTCGTAGTCCCAAAAGAGCTGGAGGGCCACGCCTGCGCCTGCTATGCATGACCCTAACCCTAACCCTGAAGTGCAGATACAGCAGTACGTCAGCTTACCTAACCCTCTGGTTGCATAAACTTCGGGATACGTAAGCGACAAACCTGGAAGTATTTTACCGGGTTTTGCCGCATGCACAGAAGCACTCTACTGCGCCACACGCATGCGCAGAACAGGCACCTCCTGTTGCAAAAACCTCCGGATCCGGCCACTATAATGTATTAGTTTTAAAAAATAAAAAAATCTGTGTTGCCAATTTGGCAGTCAACAATTCATCTGGTGTAGTTGTATGGTTGCAAAAGCTTGTCCTCTTTTCTCCTTTTGTAAAAAGGGCATCAGGGGTCAACTTTTTCCAGCCGTGAGCTGGTCCACTGTCCCTCAGACCTTGTGGGGGGCTGGACTATTGGGGGGGGGATGAATGAATTCCTATGCCCCACAAATCACCCAGAGGTGCATTTTCAATAAAAGGACACATTCTACTCAGGTCAAAACACGCTGATTCCATAGGCTGTCCATAGGCTGGATCCTGAGGCGACTGGGCAGAGCCTTAGTTTGCCTACCCATGCTCTGGGCAACCCCCCCCCCCCAATTTTCCTAAACTGGAGTCTCCAAAAATAAATGTAAAAATACGGCAGCTTCCACCATCGGGCAAGCGGCTTTCAATTCCGCCATCCAGGCGTTTTTATCTGTATTTAAATTTGCAATACTTACAGGCAAATTAACACTGCAGATAGAACTGCCGGCTCCTATGGCGGTCAAACACTGAAGTTGACATGAATTTAAAAACATGCAATTTAAAAAGTAAGCACAAATGAGATTTTTGCACGGTAGACGTAGGTAGAAAAGCTTCTTTCGATTCCTTTTCCTTCAACCATTTCATCAGTCAAAAAGCATCTCTGAGCGCGTGAGTCTTTCTGGTGAAAACGGAGTTAAAACTTTGCTTTTAAAAAAAAAAAAGGGGAGCGATGCAAATCGCAAGATGATTTTTGCACCCAAATGGAGGTCAGAGGCCCACGTTCAGGATGCGGATTTAAAAGGCAGTAAAAAAATAGGAGAAAAAAGATGGACATCCAATTGTGTTATCGCTCATGTTTTCAGGATGACCATAGTGATGAGACCTGCAAGAATCAGAAGAAAAAAGCCAGTTATTTCAGCTTAACTTGAGAAATAACCCACACGAAGAGTTTTGTTAGGTGGGGCGCACGCGCATGAAAGCTTGTTCACTGGGAGCATGTTTGTGAATATTTGTGAAATGTGGTTTACATACACAACTCATCTTACATACACAACTCATCTCTCTACAAATGCCGAAATGTCAGAGAGCTCAAATTTACTTTCAGTTGCAATCAGTTAAATCACTAGTCAGTACGACTTGATTTAAATCTTTTTTTTTTTCCTTACAGAAAGGTTCGGCCTTGCTGGCATCCTCCTAATATTGACAAGCAGAGGAAGGTTTCCTTTTTGGAATCATAAATTTTCAGAGTAGTTTTTACAGTTCTATCAAAAATGACTGATTTGGTTCTACTATAAGAAATACATTGACAGATAAGGATGAAATGATGGTGAGGTTTAATAAGTTGACTGTTTCCATTTGGACAGCTTTTCTGCTGTACTTGATTGGAAAGAGAAAAAGAATTGTAGTATCAAAACATTTGGAGGGCCGAGGTTGAGGAAGCCTGCTTTGGACTATAATGTAACCTAAACAGAAAACTATAGAAAGATTCTTCCTCCAAAAGCATTTTATTTCCAAAATCCGATTTAAATAAAAAAATCCTATTTTTAAAAACTTGCTTTTAAAAAACATTGATCCACCCTGGTTGCAATTTGCTGACATGGCCCTCACGCAGTGACTCGATTATAGGGTTGTTTTTTACGTTTCTTTACACATTTTCATTTTTACACTCAGCCCCAAATCCTATTTCGAAATGACGACAAAAAGATGCGTACCTAATACGTAAGCCGCTACTAACTTTTGATTCACACTTAAGTGGAGGTAGAGAGGCACGAGGGAACCCCCTTCTCCCAGCGTGGGAAGCATGAGAGCCGCAATGCACACGATTCCGAGGAACACGGTGAGCAAACTCGGCCCCGATGAGGCAATTCTGTTTTCTGGAAAAAGGAAAAGGCATTTGACGCTATGGAGAGGGGCAATTTCTTTCCTTTCCTTTCTCCCCCCCCCCCGCCCCTTTAAATAACAAAACATTTTTTAAAAATCTTTAATATGTTGCAAAGTAAATACAGTGGTGCCCCGCAAGACGAACGCCTCGCAAGACGGAAAACCCGCTAGACGAAAGGGTTTTCCGTTTGCGAGTTGCTTCGCAAGACGATTTTCCCTATGGGCTTGCTTCGCAAGACGAAAGCCCATAGGGAAATCTCCGGGACAGCGGGGAAGCGCAGCGTGTCTTCCCCACTGTCCTCGGACCTCCTCCCGCCGCCCGCCATCGGAACGAAGCTCCGATGCCGGGCGGGGGGAACACGTTCTCCCGCCGCCCGCCATCAGAACGAAGCTCCGATGCCGGGCGGGGGGGCGGGAACGCGTTCTCCCGCCGCCCGCCATCGGAACGAAGCTCCGATGCCGGGCGGGGGGCGGGAACGCCTCCTCCCGCCGCCCGCCATCGGAACGAAGCTCCGATGCCGGGCGGGGGGGCGGGGACACCTCCTCCCGCCGCCCGCCATCGGAACAAAGCTCCGATGCCGGGCGGGGGGCGGGAATGCGTTCTCCCGCCGCCCGGCATCGGAGCTTCGTTCCGATGCCGGGCGGGGGGGCGGGGACACCTCCTCCCGCCGCCCGCCATCGGAACGAAGCTCCGATGCCGGGCGGGGGGCGGGGACACCTTCTCCCGCCGCCCGGCTTCGGATGGCTTTCCTGAAGACTTGGGGTGGGAGGAGGGTTTTCCTTCCCACCGCCAACATTCAGAATGCTGTTCTGAATGTTGGGGGTGGGGAGGAAAAACCCTCCTCCCACGCAAGCCCCGGGAACAGAGGGAAAGCGCTGCGCACCTTCCCCTCTGTTCCCGTACCTGTCCTGAAGGCTTGCGGTGGGGAGAAAAGCCCTTCTCCGCACCGCCAGCCTGGCAAGCGGTTTCCCTAGGAATGCATTAATTGATTTTCAATGCATTCCTATGGGAAACCGTGCTTCGCAAGACGAAAAACTCGCAAGAAGAATAAACTTGCGGAACGAATTAATTTCGTCTTGCGAGGCACCACTGTACATCAAAACAAAAACCATACATAAAGAATAATATCCAATAAAACAGAAAAAATAAAGAAAAAGAAAAAATGCAAAGAAAAGTAGACAGAAAAGAAGAATAAAGTATCATATTTCATTACAATAAACACTGTTTTACAAAATAATAATAGACTTCCATCACTCTCACAGCACTTCCTTTCACCTTTCATATTTTATCTGTATTTCAGTATTATTTTCATCTGAATATATAGATGTGTATATATGTATATTTCCCCTTTTCCATTCACCAGGTCATTCTAGACACAGCCAAATTTTTACATTTGAACCTTGTCTTTCTAAGTAGTCATTCAAGCAATTCCATTCCTCCTGGACTGTATTCATTGGCTTTAGTCTTATTATATCCGTCCATTTGGCCAGTTCCAAATATTCACATAATTTATATAGCCACTCCTCTTTGGTCAGTACCTGGTTACCCTTCCAGTACTTAGCCACTAGAATTCTTGCCGCTGATGTTGCATACAGGAAAAAATGAGTTTTTTCTTTTGGAATATCACTGTTCAATATTCCCAAAAGATATGTTTCTGGTCTTTTACTTTGTGAAGTTCTTAGTAACTTTTTTTATTTATTCATGGATCATGTCCCAGAACTTTCTGATCTCTGAACATAGACATGTTCTACCATATGATAGAAGGTTCCAATCTGCTTTGTGCATCTCCCAACACTTATTACTAAGCGATCTGTTCATTTTAGCCAATCTCTCCAGTGCTTAAATACCACCTATGGTGCATTTTCAGGTAATTTTCTCTTATTAAATAACATGCTGTAAAATTTATATTTTTTGCCCACAGTTTTTTGAATGGTATAACATAGGCATGTCCAACAGGTAAATCTGAAAGCATCTGAAGGCAGCCCTGTTTAGGGATGTTTTTAATATTTAATGCTGTCTTGTTTTTAACACTTGATAGACTGGGGAAACTTAGCCAGATGGGCGGGGTATAAATTAATCATCATCATCATCATCATCACTGGCTCCCCCCAAAGAAGCTCAAGAACTTTGGCTTCCCTAAAAAAGGCTTAACAAAGCTAAACAGACCTGAACTGGGGTAGATCACTGCTAGTTTTTAACTTTGTGAGTAGATCACAGTCTTGGCCACCCTAACAAAAAGTACAAATGAGATCCACTTCATCCCTAAACATTTCATTTCACCAAACATTCTTGCTTTTATTGACATTGGGCTTCCCGTCAAATCCACCCAGCCAGAATGGCTAGGACTTCAGAGATGGGCAACCTTTTTCAGCAGGGGGCCGGTCCACTGTCCCTCAGACCTTGTGGGGGGCTGGACTAGTTGGGGGGGGGAATGAACGAATTCCTATGCCCACAAATCACCCAGAGATGCTTTTTCAATAAAAGGACACATTCTACTCATGTCAAAACACGATTCCCGGATGGTCCGCCGACTGGATTGAGAAAGCGATTGGGCTGGATTCGGCTCCCGGACCTTAGTTTGCCTACCCATGGGCTAGGTTCGACCTCCAATGGGGGAAAACAGTGTTCCTCTGAATACCAATTGCCAAAAACCACCAGCGGGGAGAGGGATGCTCAGGTTCAGCTTTTGAGCTTCCCATTAAGTGCAGGGGCCAGCAATTTTTTTTTATTATTTTTATTTTTGCTGCAGGCTTGTCCACTGTCCCTCAGACTTTGGGGCGGGCCGGAGAACCAGCACCAGGGAGGGTGGGAGCAGGAAGAAGAGGTGAGGTGGGCAAGTAGTCCTCCTCCCCATCCCCCACGCTTACCCTCCCAGGGGCTGCTGCCGCTTCTCATGGGTAGGCAGGGCGGCGGGGGAAAGATGAGCGGTGCGAAAGGGCTGGCTCCAGAGAGGGGTTGCTGAAAATGGTGCTCAGCCAGCTCCCTTTCTCACCTAGGCAGGGCAGGGAGAAGCCAGGAGGTAAGACTTGATTTAAAACACACACACACACATTACAGAAAAGTTCATCCTCTTCATATTGACAAGCAGAGGAAGGTTTCCTTTTTTTCCGAATCATAAAATCCTTTTTTTCCTTACAGAAAGGTCCAACCTTGCTGACATCCTCTTCATATTGACAAGCAGAGGAAGGTTAAGCTTGTAAGGTGACCTGATGTTACACCGTAATCATACTATCAAAGAAGTAATTGCAGTGATAAATAATACGTAATGGGAATGAGAACTTAAAAAGGACTCTCAAGGTGACAAGTGCTGGTGGAGGGGAGTCAAATGGGTGTGCTCCTCCATCTTTTCTTTCTTTCTCACCTTTTTCCTTTACTGTCTTTGGTTTTGGGGGGTGAAGTGTGTGTACCTGTTTGTTTGTTTGTAAATATTCTCAAATAAAACATTAAAAAGTCAAATGGGTGTAGTCCTTTCTTTCTTTCTGACCCTTTCCCTTTACTCTTTTTGGTTTTTGGGGTTAAGTGCAGGCTTCCTCAGCCTTGGCCCTTCCAAATGTTTTGAGACTACAATCCCATCATCCCTGACCACTGGTCCTGATAGCTAGGGGTGATGAGAGTTGTAGGCCAAAAACATCTGGAGGGCTGAGGTGGAGGAAGCCTACTTTAAAGGTGAAAACCAGCCCCTGAAACCTGACCCTGTGCTCCACTGGGAGCCAGTGCGGCTGGCACAGCACTGGGTGGATGTGGTCCTGCAGCGGGGACCCTGCGAGGAACCTCGCCGAGGCGTTCTCTACCCGCTGGGGTTTCTGGGTGAGCTTTGAGGGCGACCCTGCGTAGAGCGAGTTACAATAATCAAGCCTGGAGGTGACCGTTGCATGGGTCACTGTGGCGAGGTCAGGACAAGGGAGGTAAGGGACCAGCTGCTTAATACGGCAGATATGGGGAAATGCCTCCAAATTGTCTGCTTGTAAATATGCTTGAATAAATAAGAAAGGACAACTGGAAATTATGCGTGAAACAGCAGCAGCAAGGATTCTATTAGCCCCAGCTCGGAAGACGGAAGAAAGCCAAGAAAGAACAACGGCAAGAGAAAGTCATGGAATATGCAGAATTAGCAAAATGAACAGATAAATTACATGAGAGGGACAGCAAAGACTTTAAAAGAGAATGGGAACCATTTATGATATATATGAAGAGACAACAAGGAGAGTTGGACTCATTGGCAGGGTTTGAGTAAACATTCACAAATGCATATAACAAGGGTAGGCAACCTAAGGCCCGGGGGCCAGATGCAGCCCAATGGCCTTCTCAATCCGGTGGACTGGGACTAGGAATCGGCATGTTTTGACATGAGTAGAATGTGTCCTTTTATTTAAAATGCATCTCTGGATTATTTGTGGGGCATAGGAATTCGTTCTCCCCCCCCCTCAAAAAATCTAGTCCAGCCCCCCACAAGGTCTTAGGGACAGTGGACCAGCCCGCCATGAAAAAAACTTGCCAGCCCCTGCCATGGGTAGACAAACTACAGCCCAGGGGCCGGATCTGGCCCAATTGCCTTCTGGTGGTCCGGGAACCAGCGTGTTTTTACATGAGTAGAATGTGCCCTTTTATTTAAAATGCATCTCTGGCCCCCTGCTGAAAGTTTGCTGACCCCTGGTATATAATACAGTGGTACCTCTGGTTAAGAACGTAATTCGTTCTGGAGGTCCATTCTTAACCTGAAACTGTTCTTAACCTGAGGTACCACTTTAGCTAATGGAGCCTCCTGCTGCCGCTGCACGGTTTCTCTTCTCATCCTGAAGCAAAGTTCTTAATCCAAGGTACTATTTCTGGGTTGGCGGAGTCTGTAACCTGAAGCGTATGTAACCCAAGGTACCACTGTAGTAGTAGTAGTAGTAATAATAATAATAATAATAATAATAAATAGAGAAAGAGGCAGGTCTATAGCTCCAAAAAGCTATGGTGTTCCAAACATCCAACTACCTGGCTGGCACAAAGCCTGCTCGAAAAAGACGCTCTCTGCCAGATGCGCCGTGATCCTCTTCTCCTCCTCTTCCTTCGGGTCTTTCGCTGCTGGAAGCAGAGTGGCGATGACCTCTTTCCTCCCCAGCGCTTTCCTCTGGCTCTGCTCGGAGACCTGGAGCCGAAACTTGTCGATCACGCCATAGTGGCAAGGTCGGACATCTCTGTGACGGATCACGCTGTAATGGGAGGAGGACGTGAATGGCCACATTTCCTTTCTTAACGCGTTATTACTCGTTTTTTTGTTTTAATATAATGTTTATTAAATTTTCTTTTTTATTTTATAACAGGCATCCCCAACCTGCGGCTCCCCAGATGTTTTGGCCTACAGCTCACATGATCCCTAGCTAACAGGACCAGTGGCCAGGGATGATGGGAACTGCAGTCCAAAACATCTGGAGGGCCAAAGGTTGGGGATGCCTGCTTTATAACAAACAACCAAATAAAATTTCTTCATCACATATATCTTTGCTCAAATTGAGCTTTGACTTTCTCCCGTTCTCCTCCCTGACTACCATATGCAATCACTTTTATCTCCACATTTCTAAATCACCCTATTTACCTTATCTCAGGCTTCCTCAACCTCGGCCCTCCAGATGTTTTGAGACTACAATTCCCATCATCCCTGACCACTGGTCCTGCTAGCTAGGGATCATGGGAGTTGTAGGCCAAAAACATATGGAGGGCCAAGGTTGAGGAAGCCTGTCATCTCCAAACTAAATAGACTTAGTTCTAATATTTATAAACAGCTCATTATTTATATATGCACAAGTCGTCATAATCATTTCTATTAGTACCTTGGTTTGTGAACAACCTAGCTTACGACAGTTTTGAATGACGATCGATTCAAACCCAGACGTGCACGTCCCGGTTTGCGAACCTTTTTCAGGTTACAACCCGTGGTTTTTTATTACAAACAATTTTTTTGGTTGGTGAACACATTTTTTTGGACAATGACCCGTTTTTGGAGGCCCCATTGGCAAAAGTGTGCCTTGGGTTACGACCTGTTTCAGTTTACGAAGGGACCTCTGGAACGGATGATGGTCATAAACCAGGCATAGGCAACCTAGGCCCTCCAGCTGTTTTGGGACTACAACTCCCATGATGCCTAACTCACAGGATGAGTGGTCAGGGATGATGGGAATTGTAGTCCCAAAGCAGCTGGAGTGCCAAGGTTGCCTATGCCTGTCGTAAACTAAGGTACCACTGTAAAGCTATCGGTGATCACAAAAGATACATACAGTTTCAATTATGGGGTTTCTTCACAAACCTATGACTACCCATCTTATCCATGTTTTTTCCCTTTCTCATAAGCATGTTGTATCATTTTATTTCTGTGATGTTTTATAAAAACTTCCTTTCCTAGATCAATATTGTATTCCTTTATACCATGGGTAGGCAAACTAAGGCCCAGGGGCTGGATCCGGCCCAATCGCCTTCTCAATCTGGCCCACGGACTGTCCAGGAATCAGCCTGTTTTTACATGAGTAGAATATGCCCTTTTACCGTATTTTTCGCCCTATAGGACGCACTTTTTCCCCTCCAAAAATGAAGGGGAAATGTGTGCGTCCTATAGGGCGAATGCAGGCTTTCGCTGAAGCCTGGAGAGCCCCAGCGCCAGCCCCACAAGGTTGGGGGACAGAGGGAGGCGGAACGCCGCCATCCCGCTCTCACCCGAAGTGGTTTGGAGGCTGACGGTGGGGAGACCCCGCCGCCGCCAGCCCCGCAAGCTCCGGGGACAGTGGGGAGGCGCAGCGCAGTCTCCCCACTGTCCCCGGACCTGGTCTGAAGGCGGGCTGCAGGGAGAAGAGCGCTTCTCCCCCTGCCGGCCCCACAAGCGCCTGGGGGGGGGGGAAATAATTTTTCCCCCTTTATTTCCCCCCCAAAAAACTTTATGCGTCCTATGGGCCGGTGCGTCCTATGGGGCGAAAAATACGGTATTTAAAATGCATCTCTAGGTTGTTTGTGGGGAATAGGAATTCATTCATCCACCCCCCCATCTAGTCCGGCCCCCGACAAGGTCCGAGGGACAGTAGATCGGTCCCCTGCTGACCACGTCCACCCAGTGCTATGCCAGCCACACTGGTCCCCGGAGCACAGGGTCAGGTCCTGTCGGACTAATTGCAGTCGTTCACAGTCGCCCACAGGTTGACCATACCCATTGAGTTCTACTACCCTTTGGGGGAAAACCCCGCCCCACCCTCCCACTATCTATCAGGGTCTGGTTAATAATAATAAATAATAAACTTTTATTTGTATCCAGCCCTCAGTCCAAACCTGGACTCAGGGAGGCTAACACCAAATAGGTAACACTGGTATAAAATCAAGCAATAACGAAATTATCTCCTGAAAACAAGTCAGGATCAAATTCAAATCCAATTAGATGGCTTTCCGCAGGATTAGGGTTGGGAACAGTAAACGCTCGTCAGGCCCAACTGTTTGCGCTGCTCTTATATGGGCCTGTGAGAACGCTGGGAGGCCTCTTTCATACTAGACTTCGGTTTCTGTGTATCGGAAGAAGGGCACATGCCCACGTAAAGCTTAGACCCAGAACAAACTGAGTTGGTCCCTAAGGTGCCACTGGACAATTTTTTAATTTTTTGATTTCCCCACCGTGAGATGTCTTGATGAGGGTGGACTATACATCTAATAAATTAACGAATGGTCTCTGGAAGGCAGCTTAGTGGTTGCTATTCATTACAAAGCAACAAACCAAAAACCAGCTTTTTACTCACATGTCAACACAGCACTGAGGCTTCACCGCGCCCGCTGCATCAACCACGACATATTTATTTGGGGTTGTGCAAAGAACTGAAAGAAAAGAAAAGGGGCCGTCATCCGATGTCGCAAGGAAAACTGGCACAGAAGCGAAGCTCAACATCGGGAACGACCGAACTCCAGCCCTCCAGCTGTTTTGGGATTATAATTCCCACCATCCCTGACCGCTGGTTCTGTTAGCTAGGGGTGATGGGAGTTGTTGTCCCAAAACAGCTGGAAGGCCAAGTTGGGCCATGCCTTATCCGGACTCCCAAGTTCTTGTAGCCCACCCACGGACCTTCAGGCACAAGGCAGGTCAGAAAGCAAATAAAAGGAAGTCCCTCCTCCCCAAGCAAACCCTTAAATAGAATTGTACCTGAGACGCACCTTTGAATTTTAAGGCAAATTCATAGGGGTTATAGAGAGTCAACACCTGTTTATGGGTCGACTGGTCGTCCGCATAAAATATAAGCTCCGTGGGGAATAGGAAGACAGGAAGGTTTCCTTCCACTAACTCTGGCTGCCGTTTTTGCTGCTGCATTGGCCCCGAGTCGTCCTCGCCACTGCGCCTTCTGCTCGCCCGACGGCCTTGTCTCCCCACACGTCTCGTCACAGCAATTTAGGAATCCGAAAGCATTATGGCAAACCTATAGGCAAACCTATAAAAACACAAGACAGCATCAAACATTAAGAAACTTCCTGAAACAGGGCTGCCTTCAGATGCCTTTTAAAAGTCAGATAGTTGTTTATTTCTTTGACATCTGATGGGAGGGCGTTCCACAGGGCGGGCGCCACCACCGGAACACCCTCTGCCTGGTTCCCTGTAACCTCACTTCTCGCAGCAAGGGAACCGCCACTCTGGCAGGTAGGGTCTCATCTATCTATCTATCTATCTATCTATCTATCTATCTATCTATCATCTATCTAATCTATGCAGGTCTTTCAGGGTTATGAAGTCTCTGCAGTCCCAGTCTCCAGTCTGGCTGCCGCATTCTGGATTAGTTGTAGTTTCCGGGTCATCTTCAAAGGCAGCCCCACGTAGAGCGCATGGCAATAGTCCAAGTGGGAGATAACCAGAGCATGTTCCGCTCTGGGCAGGGAGGGTCTCATCCCACATACCAGATGAAGCTGCCCTGGACACAGAACGGACCTGCACCTCCATGGGTCCAAAATGACCCCCAGGCTACGCAGCTGGTCCTTCAGGGGCACAGTTGCCCCATTCAGGACCAGGGAGTCCCCCACACCGACCCGACCCCTGTCCCCCAAGAACAGTACTTCTGTCTTTTCAGGATTCAACCAAAATCCGTTAGCTGCCCTACATCCTCCAACCGCCTCCAGGCACTCACACAGGAGCTTCACTAGTTCTGATTTAAAAGAGAGGTAGAGCTGGGTATCATCCACATATTGATGGACGCCCAGCTCAAACAGCTGGAGGGCCAACTTGGACCATGCCTGAGCTAGAGCAGTGGTGGCCAAACTGCGCCCTTCAGCTGTTTTGGGACTACAATTCCCACCATCCCTGACCACTGGTCCCGTTAGCTAGGGGTCATGGGAATTGTAGGCCAAAAGCTTTTATGCATCTATGAGATCCCACAGCAGCTATTCACAACACCCGTGCCAATTAATCCTGAAAATTGCAAGCCTGCCACATTTGCGAATCACGTCATTGTTATTGGAAAAAGCAGGGGTGGCCAACTCCCGAGAGACTCACACTGTTATGTAGTGTAGTTTCACCCTGGGCCAACAGGGGGATACTGTATATAGTTTTCACTCAGGTCTGTAGATAGTTTTCACTCAGGTCCGCGGCAGTTATTTTAGGCGGGAACTCTGGGCTGTTGTGGTTACAATGTGACAGCCGGCTGCCTATAAATACAGGCCGGCTGAGCTGTCGCAGTCAGTTGTATTCCAGCTTACCATAATAAAGAGCTACTTGAAGAAATCGCTGTGCCGGCTGCTATGTCAACCCACGACTTAACACTGGCGACGAAGGTGGGATTGATGGACATCAGAGCACAGCCAGATGCGGCCAGCCTCTGAACTGAGCTGAATCACTGAGCTGAATCACAGAGCGAAATCACTGAGCGAAATCACTGGGCAGAACCAATTCAGAGCTGACTGTTCTGGCTAGAGCACTGTGTTCCATCCATCGCCCTTCACGCCGGCATCGGAATCATGGCTTCACTTGTGCCTCTACCGCCGTTTGCGCCAGCCTCTGAATCGTGGGACTCCTACCTCGCTCGGTTCGACTGCTACCTCCAAGCCAACGAGCTGACAGCAGTATCAAAGGATCGGAAGCGGGGCCTATTCCTCAGCCTCTGTGGGCCTGAGGTGTTTGAGACGGCCCGAGCGTTGGTTGCGCCTGAAGCAGTCCAGGCAACACCATGGGACACGATCCAAGAGAAGCTCCGCAACCACTACGCACCAAAGCCGTCCAAGATTGCTGCCCGCCATGCGTTCTACCACCGGAACCAGGCAGAGGGGGAGTCAATCAACAACTACACCACCGCCCTGCGACAGGCTGCAATGCACTGTGAGTTCCGAGACTTAGACGATGCCCTGATGGATCGAATCGTCTGCGGGGTCCGGGACATCCATCTGCAACGGCGCCTCCTAGCCAAGCCAGACCTCACGCTACAGAAAGCCATTGAGGAGGCTGTGGCCTCAGAAGCTGCTGAACGCTCCGCCCAGGAGATCCGCAAGTCCAGCAGCCCGCGTCTTGCTAGGGAGCCAGTTCCAGTGCATCATGAAGAGGCCAGCAGTGATGAGGCATCCTCCAGTGAAGACGATGACGTGCACCAGACAAAGCGGGAGCGCAGGAAGTTCCAACAGAAGTCCAAGGGCCAACCGGAATGTGCTGGCTGCGGAGGCAACCATTCCCGTGCCAAGTGTCGATTCAGAGACGCCATCTGTAGGAAGTGTTCCAGAAGGGGCCACATCGCTAAGGTCTGCCGATCGGCTCCGTCTGACACCCCCCCTTCATCGACTCGCAAGTCCAAGTCTTCACTCCAGTCTGCCAAGGAAAGTTGTTTCGCTCTCACCAACTGCCGCTGCCCGTCTGGAACCACGATTGGCCAAACCGACTCGCCTACGCGACGCAAGCTGAACGTCACGGTGCTCATTGAAGGAGCTCCATGTGACATGGAGATCGACACCGGGTCTGCCCTGTCCATCGTGTCATGGAGCACCATCAAAAGACTGGTACCCAGAGTGTCCAAAAGGCAACTCGACTCTCACCGCGTACACCTGAGAGACTACCAGGGAAACGACATTCCCGTGGTAGGCGTTGGCCGGTTCCGGATCGCTTTCAAGGATTTTTCGGGCCTGCTCCGGTTGGTGGTGGTCGAAGGTCAGCGGCCAAGCCTCCTAGGGCTAGACTGGTTTGATGCCCTCGGCCTGGAAGTCACCGGCATCAACTGCATCTCTAACGCAGAGACTGAGGGTCTGGTCAAAGACTTTGCCGAGGTTTTTGACGGCACCTTGGGCCAATATACAGGTACGCCCATCTCCTTTAGCCTTGATCCACAAGTCGCCCCCATCAAGCTAAAGCCACGCCGGGTTCCCTTTGCTCTCAAGGCTAAGGTGGACGAACAACTGGACAAACTGATCGCCCAAGGAGTTTTGGAGCCGGTTGACCACGCAAAGTGGGAAACCCCCATCGTCACGCCTGTCAAGCCAGATGGGTCGGTGAGAATCTGCGCTGACTACAAGTGCACGATCAACAAGGCACTTCAGCAGCACGCTTATCCGGTTCCTGTTGTCCAACACCTGCTGCATTCCCTGGGTGAGGGTAAGGTCTTCGCTAAGCTGGACCTTGCCCAAGCCTATCAACAACTGCCAGTCGATGATGCCACTGCTGAAGCCCAGACGATCGTCACCCACCGGGGGGCTTTCCGTTGCCGCCGGTTGCAGTTCGGGGTGAGTGTGGCTCCTGGCATCTTCCAAAGCCTTATGGAGCGTCTCCTGCAAGGGCTTCCGGGCGTGGTACCATATTTTGATGACGTCTTGGTGTCTGCAGACTCACACCAGCAGCTGTTCGAGCGCCTCCGTGCCGTGCTGACCAGGTTCCAGGAGGCCGGGGCTCAAGGTAAAGAGGGAGAAGTGCCAGATCGCCGTTCCACAGGTAGAGTTCCTGGGCTATCTTATCGATGCCTCTGGTCTTCATCCAACCACATCCAAGATCCGCGCTATCCAGCAGGCCCCCACCCCAAAGAACAAAACGGAGTTGCAGGCATTCCTGGGGCTGCTGAACTTTTATAACATGTTCCTGCCCCACAAAGCCACAGTGGCTGAGCCTCTTCACCGACTCCTTAGCACTAAGACGCCTTGGGCCTGGGGTCATCGGGAGACGGCGGCCTTCAACGCGGTCAAGGCTCTCCTTTCTTCAGATAGTGTGCTGGTACAGTACAGTGAATCCAGGCCGCTGGTCCTTGCCTGCGACGCCTCACCTTTTGGCATCGGTGCTGTCCTTAGTCACCGTTTTCCAGATGGAAGAGAAGCACCGCTCGCCTACTTTTCCAGGACACTATCTCCGACGGAACGGAATTACAGCCAGCTCGACAAGGAGGCATTGGCACTTGTGGCTGGAGTGAAGAGGTTCCATGAATACCTCTATGGCAGGACTTTTGACCTCATCACTGACCACAAGCCACTCCTGGGCCTCCTCGCCGGTGATCGTCCAACTCCACCGGTCCCTCTCACCACGCATGCTGCGATGGACTGTTTTCCTGGCTGCCTACCACTACCGGCTCATCCATCGCCCGGGGAAATCGATGGGCCATGCCGACGCCCTCAGCCGTTGCCCTCTTCCAGCATTTGTGGAAGACCCGGCTCCAGCTTCATCGCTCCTTCTGATTGAGGATCTTCCGGCAGCGCCTGTATCGGCTGCCACTGGTGGCCTCCGCATCTGCCCAGGATCGCACCATCAGCCGGGTGCTCAACTGGGTGTGGGAGGGGTGGCCACAAGGGCCTTTTGCATCGGAGTTCCAGCCCTTCGCAACCAGACAACATGAAACTCTCAGGCTCATCGTGGCTGCCTGCTGTGGGGAGACCGCATCGTGATTCCCCAGGGACTCCGTCAGCGCGTCCTGGAGGCTCTGCACGTTGGCCACCCGGGAATTGTCAAAATGAAGGCGTTGGCTCGGTGTTACGTCTGGTGGCCTAATATGGACGATGCCATCACTGCCTGGGTGTCCGCCTGTCAAGCGTGCCAGGAGTCGAGGCCTGCACCACCGGCAGCTAAGGGACACACCTGGGAGACGCCAAAGACACCCTGGTCGAGGGTGCACATCGATCTGGCTGGCCCCTTTCACGGCCGGACCTTTATGGTAGTGGTGGACGCCTATTCCAAATGGCTGGAGGTCGCCCTGATGCCCTCCACCACTACCGAAGCTGTCATCCGGGTGCTGCGAGGCCTGTTTGCAACGCATGGGTGTCCTGATGTCCTTGTCTCTGACAACGGACCGCAGTTCACGTCAGGCACGTTTGAGCGGTATCTTTTGGGACTGGGCATCCGCCATGCCCTAACGGCACCCTTTCATCCATCCAGCAACGGGCAAGCGGAAAGAATGGTGCGCTCGACA